AATATTTTTTGAAAAGATTCCAGAAATTTCAAAGATTTTAAAGAATCCATAAAATCTAGAGATTCAGAGTTTCCAGAAATTCCAAAGTTTCTAAAAATTCTAAATTTTCTAAGAATTTTAGTAATTCTAAGGATTTAACGATTCTAAAGGTCCTAAGAATTTTTAAGGATTTAAGAATTCCACAGTTTTTAAAGATTCCTCCACAATCAAACAAGATTTAAACTTATTTCTACAGGGTGTTGTTTAAAAAATGCAACCCCCTAGTTTGTAACTTTCAAATGACACATATATGTTTAAGTGCATTAAGGAATGTTTCTGAGTAATTCAAAATTTTTCGAAAATTTTAGAGGTTTCAGAAACTTCAAATATTTTGAAGATTTCAGAGATTCCAACCTTAGGTTTTGGTGAAATTCTAAAAATTTCAAGGATTTTAAAGATTCCTAAGATTCCATAAAATATAGAAATTCAGAGTTTCCAGAAATTCCAAAGTTTCTAAAAATTCTAAATTTTCTAAAAATTTTAGTAATTCTGAGGATTTAACGATTGTAAATTTTCTAGAGGTTTCAGAAACTTTGAATATTTCGAAGATTTCAAGGATTTCTGAAATTGGTTGTAAGTTTTTCGAAGATTCCAGAAGTTTCAAAGATTTTAAAGATTCCACAAAAGCCACAGATTCAGAGTTTCCAGAAATTCCAAAGTTTCTAATGATTCTAAATTTTCTAAGAATTTTAGTAATTCAGAGGATTTAAGGATTCTAAAGTTCCTAAGGATTTTAAGGATTTCTAAGGATTTAAAAATTCCAAAGTTTTGAAAAATTGTAAAGATTCTAGACCTCCACAATCAAACAAGATTTACACTCAATTCTACAGGGTGTTTAAAAAATGCAACCACCTAGTTTGTAACTTTCAAATGACACATATACGTTATATTTAAGCGCATTAAGGAATTTTTTTCAGTAATTTAAAATTTTCATAAATTCTAGAAGTTTCAGAAACTTCAAAAATTTCGAAGATTTTAGAGACTGCAACTTCAGAATTGGATAAAATTCTAAAAATTTCAAGGATTCCTGAAATTGGTTGCAAGATTTTCGAGGATTCCAGAAGTTTTAAAGATTTTAAAAATTCCATAAAATCTAGAGATTCAGAATTTCCAAAGTTTCTAAAGATTCTAAATTTTCTAAGACTTTTAGTAATTCTGAGGATTTAAGGATTCTAAAGTTCCCAAGAATTTTAAGGACTCTAAGGATTTAAGGATACCAACGTTTTTAAAGATTCTAGACCACCACAATCAAAGAAGATTTAAACTCATTTCTACAGAGTGTTATTTAAAAAATGTAATCACCTAATTTCTAACTTCCAAATGGCACATATATATTTAAGCGCATTAAGGAATCTTTTTCAGTAATTCAAAATATTTCAAAAATTCTAGAGGTTTTAGAAATTTCAGGATTTGGGGAAATTCTAAAAATTTCAAGGATTGCTGAATTAGTTGTAAAATTTTAAAGGATTCCAGAAGCTTCAAAGATTTTAAAGATTCTATAAAATCTGGAGAATCAGAGTTTCCTGAAATTCCGTAGTTTCTAAAGATTCTAAATTGTCTAAAAATTTTAAGGATTCTAAGGATTTAAGAAGTCCAAAGTTTTTAAAAATTCTGAAGATTCTAGACCTCCATAATCAAACAAGATTTAAGAGATTCACAGCTTCCAGAAATTCTAAAGTTTCTAAAGATTCTAAATTTTCTAAGAATTATAGTAATTCTAAGGATTTAAGGATTCTAAAATTCCTAAGAATTTTAAGGATTCTAGGGATTTCAGAATTACAAAGCTTTGAAAGATTCTAAAGATTCTAGACCTCCACACTCAAACAAGATTTAAACTCATTTCTACAGGGTGCTATTTAAAAAATGCAATCACCTAGTTTGTAACTTTCAAATGACACATATATATTTAAGCACATTAAGGAATTTTTTTCAGTAATTCAAAATATTTCAAAAATTCAAGAGGTTTCAGAAACTTCAAATATTTAGAGATTTTAGAGATTGCAACCTCAGAATTCGGTGTAATTCTAAAAATTTCAAGGATTCCTGAAATTGATTGTAAGATTTTCGAGGATTCCGGAAGTTTCAAAGATTTTAAAGATTCCAAAGATTCCATAAAACAGAGATTCAGAGTTTCCAGAAAATCCAAAGTTTGTAAAAATTCTAATTTAAGGATTCTGAAGTTCCTAAGAATTTTAAGGTTTCTAAGGATTTAAGAATTCCAAAGTTTTTAAGATCCTAAAGATTCTCAACGTTCACAATCAAAGAAGATTTTTACACTCATTTCTACAGGATATTGTTTAAAAAATGCAAACACCTAGTTTGAAACTTTCAAATGACACATATATATTTAAGCGCATTAAGGATGTTTTTTCAGTAATTCAAAATATTTCAAAACTTCTACGGGTTTCAAAATTTAAATATTTCGAGATTTCAGAGATTGCAACCTCAGGATTTGGTGAAATTCGAAAAATTTCAAGGTTTCCTGAAATTGATTATAAGATTTTCGAGGATTCCAGAAGTTTCAAAAATTTTAAAGAATCCATCAAATCTAGAGATTCAGTTTCCAGAATTTCCAAAGTTACTAAAGATTCTAAATTTTCTAAGAATTTTGGTAATTCTAAGGAGTTAAGGATTCCAAAGTTTATAAATATTTTAAGGTTTCTAAGGATTTAAGAATTTCAAAGTTTTTAAAGATTCTGAAGATTCTAGACCTCCATAATCAAAGAAGATTTAAGAGATTCAGAGTTTCCAGAAATTCTAAAGTTTCTAAAGATTCTAAATTTTCTAAGAATTTTAGTAATTCTAAGGATTTAAGAATTGTAAAATTCCTAAGAATTTTAAGGATACGTTATATTTAAGCGCATTAAGGAATTTTTTTCAGTGATTCAAAATATTTCAAAAATTCTAGAGGTTTTAGAAACTTCAAATATTTCGAAGATTTCAGAGATTGGAACTTCAGGATTTGGTGAAATTCTAAAAATTTCAAGGATTCCTGAAATTGGTTGTAAAATTTTTGACGATCCCAGAAGTTTCAAAGATTTTAAAGAATCCATAAAATCTAGAGATTCAGTTTCCAGAAATTCCAAAGTTACTAAAGATTCTAAATTTTCTAAGAATTTTGGTAATTCTAAGGAGTTAAGGATTCCAAAGTTTATAAATATTTTAAGGTTTCTAAGGATTTAAGGACTCCAAAGTTTTTAAAGATCCTAGACCGCCACCATCAAACAAGATTTAAACTCACTTCTACAGGGTGTTGTTTAAAAAATGCAACCATCTACTTTGTAACTTTCAAATGACACATATATATTTAAGCGCATTAAGGAATGTCTTTCAGTAATTCAAAATATTTCAGAAATTCTAGAGGTTTCAGAAACTCTAAATATTTCGAAGATTTCAGAGATTGCAACCACAGGATTTGGTGCAATTCTAAAAATTTCAAGGATTCCTGAAATTGGTTGTAAGATTTTCGAGGATTCCAGAAGTTTTAAAGATTTTAAAGATTCCATAAAATCTTGAGGTTCAGACTTTCCAAAAATTCCAAAGTTTCTAAAAATTCCAGACCTCCACAGTCAAAGAAGATTTAAGCTCATCTCTACAGAGTGTTGTTTAAAAAATGCAGCTTTTAAATGATGCGTACATGTATATAATTTCAAAGATTCTAAATATTTCAAAGATTTCCAGAATTTCAAATTTTCGAAATCTTGGGATTTACAGAAATTCCAAAACTGCTGGGTCCTGATTCGATTTTTACAATTATATGGCGGTAAACCTCGCCTGCGGCTCGATCTCAACACCAATCTGTAAACCGCTTGCAAAAAACTGAAGACTTCATTCTTGTACGCATACGATAGTCAAGCTCTAGATTGAACGTTCTTATAAAAAAGGTCGAGCCGCAGGCGAGCGTAGAAAGAACGATGTATGTATCGAACATTATTTCAAACGAACCACGTGTTGCTGGCCATATATCCAAAATGTTAAAACGAACAAATATTTTAAAACGAACAAATATTTTAAAACGAACAAATATTTTAAAATTGGCAACAGATTTTACAAAATACGACAATAAATCTCATTCACAGCTCGGTTTAAAGCGGGATTCGAGCCGAAGGCGAGCGTGTCGAAAAATACTACAATGGAAAAATTGAGAACACGTCAATGAAGCGACTCAGTGAACTTCCAGCGTCCAGACGGGTCCATTTACGAATTTAAATTTAAAAACCGGTAAAATTAGCGACTGTGGGTCAGGAGTGCCAAACAAATTTAGAAGTTCTTTCTATCACATAGGAAGCATGTGATGGCTAGACCAAGGTAGCAAAACACCATGTATAAAAACATTACCAACACAATAAATCAAAAGTTATTGATTTTAACAATATAAAAATAACTAATTTACCTGGCAGCAACATCTTTAATTTCGAAAAAGAACACAACAATGGAACTGATGAGTACACTTATTAAAAAAAGTGAAAAAAGTGACACTGTTGACATTTGAGCACAGCCGGCTCGATTTCAACAGTTAGCAAACTCCGTCAAAATTTATCGAATTCGGCTTGATTAAACCCTCAAACCACACCGTGTTTGCCATGTTCGTTAAGAAAATATTGTCTGTAAGTGAAGTCTGGTAATCGACGTCTATCGATTCCATCGATCCTTCCAACCCCGACATCGTCTGGGGATCGCGTTAAGTAAATTACATTTAGTCGTCTGCATACAAATGATTGTCTTCATTGCCCGATCTGCGATTAAAATCCGGGATTACGCCGACTTTTAATTCTTAGGGTGTCCTCCTTAGTCAAATAGTCGTCCGACCGAAACCGGTTCCCTCGAAACTAAGAATGAAATTTATGTTTATTAATAAGAGTTATTAGTGATGTCACCGTCACCGAACATCCATTCCGGCGCTTTTTCCAACCGCTAATAGCGTGTTTATTTTACATAAAAAAAACTCGAAAAACACAAACCTTTACTTCATGCTGCCTAATCCGCGCTCCTCATGCAAGGGAATCCGTGGAGCACATGACAGAAGAGAAGAACGCAGGGGGTGGGTCGAACCGAAAAGAACAATTCATTCACTAATTTTACAACACCCTAGGCTTTAACGACGTCACGTGTGGGATTTAGAACTTTTGATCACTGAAGGTGGGCGTCTTTGGCGTTCGGGGACGGTTTTCTCGCGGCAGACGCTCACGGTTTAGGAGTTTTTCGCGATTTTCATAGCTTTTTGGTTGGAAGACAAAGAACAGACTACGCGAACCGGACAGCTAGTGTGGGCAACTGCTGACAAAAACAAATGTTGATGTTACAAGAACCCGATCAGACTCCGTGGGGCAGACAGAGACGGAGGCGGCGCAAGCGCGGGGGTGTCAGCCGTGATGGGTGACTTTGACGGCTCACTCTGGCGCCACCTATGCAACCCGCACGAAACCACCTACAGGAAACTACTCCAACATTCAAACATTGTTTAAGTACATTATAGTTGGACAACCTATACGAAAGGGGGTAAAAATAGTCCGTAAGCACGTGATGTCGATAAGGTAGTAAACGGACGTATTAATCAGTACGTTGTATGTACGGGGAGCAGTCACAAAATAAGCAAACGTACGTGTTGAAGACTTTACTGTAATATATGTATATGTAGTGCATACCTGTTTCAAGGTTAAGGTAACAAAAATTTAATATTATCGCGGTATACCTATTATCCATGAACTGCATGGCTAACAAATATGCGTCCCTTCGTCCACTTTAAAGGTATACGAAATTAAACGACCACTACTTTAATTAATAAGTAACAAGTCATCTAATTTGCCTCCAGAATAACTATGGATTATCATCAAACTATGAACACCAAATTAATTCAATATGAACATCTTCTTACGTATTTTTTTTATTAACAGTAGTCAAATCATTAAATACATATTATTTTTGAAACTAAAATGCATTTTATACTAAGATTGTATCACAAAATATTCATCACCATTTAAATATATACGATTTAGACATCAAGAAATAAATTTAAAATTGCAAAAATTATACTAAAACAGCCTTAAATGTGTCTTGTATGTACGTGCTTATCAGTATGTAGGCATTTTAACGCACAGCAATAATCATTCTTGATGAGTAATGACTGATGACTACTGTAACACAGTAAATCCTCGAAATCGAAAATTTAAAACACTGAAAAATTCAAATATGGGAAAATTGTAAAATCGAGAAATAGAAACATAAAAAAATCAAAAAAATTAAAATTGGAAAATCTAAAATTTAAAAATCGAGAAATTGAACAATCGGTTAATTCAAAAATCGAAACATCGAAAAATTGGAAAATCGAAAATTTAAAAATTCCGAAAATTGAAAAATTGAAATATAGAGAACTGAAGACTCAAAAAATCGAAAAAAATTAATAATTTCAAAAATTGAAAAGTTAAAATTGAGAAATCGAAAAACTGAAAAATCACAAAATTGAACGAAATATCAAAAAATTAGGCAATTAAAAAATTGAGAAACAAAAAAGTCAAAAAAGCAGAGTCTAAAAATCGCAAACTTAAAAAATCGAAAAATTGAAAAATCAAAAACCTGAATAATCGAAAAATTGAAGAACTGAAGAACTGAAAAATCGAAACTTTAGGAAGTGGAGAAATGGGAATATAAAAAAATTGATTAATTGAGAAATCCGAAAACTAAAAATTCAGAAACGTCAAAATTTGAAAAATAAAAAAATATTGAAGAACTAAAAAATCGAAAAATCTAAAAATTTAAAACATTGAAAAGTTAAAATATCCTAAAACTGAAAAATGGAGAACTCAAAAATAAAAAAAAATAAAAATCTAAAATTTAATAATCGAAAAACTGAAAAATCAACGAATCGAGAAGTCGAGAATTTAAAAAATTGGACAATGGAAAAATCGGATAAATCAAAAATCGAAACATCGAAAAATCGAGAAACCGAAAAGCAAAAAATCAAAAAACCAACAAATCGAAAAATCGAAACATTGTAAAATTCAAAAATTGAGATATCGAGAAATCGAAAAATCAAAAGACAAAAAAAATCGAGGAGTCGAAAAATCGAGTAGTCGAAAAATCAAAAAATTGAGAAACCGAAGTAGGCCAAAATCGAAAAATCGAAAACTTAAATATGGAAAAATTCATAAAGCGAGAGATTGAATAATCAAAACATCGAAACATCCGAATCTCAATAAATTGAAATGTCAAAAAATTTAAACATTCGTAAATTAAAAAAATTGAAATATAGAACTGGAAACTCGAGAAACTGAAAAATCTAGAAATTTAAAAATTAAAATATGAAAAAGTTGAAAAATTGAGAAATTGAAATAAAAAACAAAAAACTGACCCCAAAAATAAAAAATAGAAAAATCTAGAAGTCGAAAAATGAAAGAATCGAAGTATTGAAAAATATCAAAACTGAAAGAAATATCCAAAAATTGAGAAATCGACAAACCAATAAAGCGAAGTCGAAAAATCGAAGAATTGAAGAACTGAAAAATCGAAACTTTGAGAAATGGGAAAATCAAACATAGATTAATTGAGAAATCAAAAAACTGAAAATTTAACGCAATAATTTGAAAAATTGAAAAATTTAAATACTGAAGAACTGAAAATTCAAAAAATCGAGAAATCGAAAAAACTAAAATTTAAAACAATGAATAATTAAAATATCGCAAAACTGAAGAATCGAGAGATCCAATTCAATTTAAAAAATTGAAAAATCGGGGCATTGAAAAATTGGAAAATCCAGAAATTGAAAAGCTCAAAAGAAAAAAATCGAAAAACCGAGAAATCCAAAAATCGAAACATCGAAAAATTCAAAAACTGAGACTTCGAGAAATCGAAAAATCGGAGGATCGAGAAATTGAGGAGTCGGAAGCCGAAAAGGAAAGTTAAAAATTGAAAAATTGAGAAATTGAACAATCAAAACAACGAAACATCTGAATTCGACAAATTGAGAAATTAAAAAATTGAATAATCGAAAAATTTTAAAAAAGAAAAACTGGAAAATCGAAAATTAAAATTCAAAAAATCGAAAAATTGAAAAACTGAAATATAGAAGAACTGAAAACTCGAGATACCGAAAAACCTAGAATTTTAAAAAATGAAATATTAAAACATCGAAAAGTTTAAAAATTGAGAAATCGAAGCATTAAACAGTCCCAGAATTGAAAAATCTAAAGCTTACAATAAATTGAAAATCCAAAAAGAAAAAATGCGAGAAATCAAAAAAAATCCATCATTTCAAAAATCGAAAAGTCGAAAAATTGAAATATTGAAAAATCTCATAACTGAAAGAAATATTCAAAAAATTGAGAAATTAAAAAATTGGAAAATTGAGAAATCGAAAATCTAAAAAAGCAAAACTGAAAAATCGTAATCTTAAAAAATCGAAAAATTGAGGAATTGAAGATGTGAAAAAACGAAACTTAAGGAAATCCAGAAATGGACAAATAAAAAAAATACTTTAGAAATTGGCAAACTGAAAATTTAGAAACGTGAAAATTTGAAAAATTGAAAAATCGAAATATTTAAAAACCGTAAAATTGAAGAGGACAAAAATTGAAAAATCGTATCATTGAAACATCGAAAGATTGAGAAATCGAAAAGTAAAAAAATCAAGAAATAGAAAATTTAAAGAATGGAGGAATCGGAAAAGCCCAAAATTGAAATATTGAAAAATTGAGACATTTGAAGTTGAAAAATCGAGAAATCGACAAGCCGAAAAATCCCAATAGCGTATTTAGATATAAATCACAAGATCAGGACTATTCTACTTTTTAAAATTTAAATAAATAACATTATAAATTGGAAAATGTTGATTTTTTTTTCCAAAAATCTTGACGTCTAAGGCAAAAACTCGACACGGATGCATAAACCGTAAACGGAGCGAAACTACAATTTTACTATTGTAAAATTTGGAGATTGCGTCATTTCATTGTTCGTGACAAATTTTGGAGAGTGTAATTTGATAATACAATTTGAAATGTAAATTTTGTCATTCGGGAACATTATGTATTAAATCGTTAAGATGTTCAAGAACTTTGTTCACTTATTCGTTGTAAAGTCCAATGGTCGAAATGGGTTAGTTCTTCGTAGTGGATGTGTATCACATCAACTCTAACGAATATCGGTTTATAGATAAATCGCTTAAAGCCAATATTGGCCTGAGTGTGCTTTGGTCTGTAGATCAAACAAGTTCTCAGGCGACGAAAAATTGCATGTGGAGGGAGACTTCGGATTACAAATCGTGCCAAGAAAGACATATTTGGGAGAGATGGATTTTCAGGTGCTTGACTAACGGTAATTTTAAATTGTTTGCTGTCGATCGCGAAGTGAAGAACACAATTTCAAAAAATGATAATTATAAAATTATCATAATCACTATTGGTGTTAATTAACACAAAATGGCGCGCAAGTTATCAGTTGATTTCGTTAATAAATTCATAGAAACCTATATGGGATTTTTTCATGCCTTAGAAAATTAAAAAGTAAAAAATACAATAACAAAAGTTTTAAAATGCGGTTTACGAAAAATTAGTTGACCTGTGCAAATAAGAAAATTTTGGAAACGCTGACAAATATGATATCTTAAAAAAAAATAACACTTGAAGTGCACTGATGTCGATGTTATATCCCGAGAGGGGCCCAATACACCCAATAAAATGGAACAGACAAAATAAAGTTTCAAACATGATTATTTTTATACTAAAATTCTGAAGTTTATAAACTGCACATTTTATTTATTTATTTATTTATTTTATCTTGTTTTCGAACTATAATAAACATTTCAAACAATGTCTGTAACTTATTTTAATGTAAATTATATTCATATGGTTAACAAAATCAGATGTAATATTAGTGTGATTTTGACCTTATTCTAGATTTTATTACAGCAGAACGGCGTATCCTTTTTAAATTTTAGAAGTTACGGAAACTAGTTCAAGAAACAATTAGTTATCTCGTATTTTTGGAACAAAATCTACCAAAATATCCGACAACAGCAATTGTTTTTCATAGAAACAAACAGTCTTCAAAGCAGCCTTCAACAACTCGATATTACAAACATGCCTCTTAAGTTCTTAATGCGTTTTTTTCTCTCTTGTAATTATTTGCCGAAAGTTTATGTCATTCTGTTATTTACTTTGAACATATATTTTCATTTTGTGTTAATATTTTTGTAACACCACGAATCTAAATTTTACTTAAAATCTTGTTTTACTTTAATCTTGTAAAACTAAACAATTAAACCAGTTTAAAAAACCTTGGAAAGTTTCTGTCAGTCTTCAGATATAGTCAAATAAAAATATGCGTCAAATTCATTTAAATTCAATTCTTTCTTATCACGTTACAACGCGTTGCTTCATATTTTTTATGTCAAGTATATTTTCATATTTTGTACATATATGTTTATACACATTACTGTTTACGGAACAATGTTAATTATGGATTTATGGATAACTCCTCGTATAAGAGCAGAGTGAAGGGTGTTCGCCTTTGCTAATGTTTGATGGCGCCATCTGATTTAGAGTAAAATAAACCTAATACGTTCGCTCACTGTAGTGAAAATGCGCGTTGACGAAAAATTTGTCCCACGCCTCCTGGATTCCTTGTCCTAAAGCTCACTATTTAGGCGAAGTAAAATTTGTATTAGGTTGTCCAACTATAATATACTTAAACAATGCTATTAATATTCACCAGATTTTTAACTGCACTAATTAAAACATTACCACCACAGTTATATTTTATTAATAAATCATTGACAGAAATGACATTGACATAACCACAATGACACCCGTATAGGTTATGTTGTACAAAATGTCCCTCCACCGCTTTTCCAAAAACATCTTCAGCTCGTTTTTAACCACGGCTTGCAACAAAAGTTTCTCTAATATGTGTTGCGCCACTCAGTTACCGCTGTTAAACGCCATCACCAACACACAAGAAACCAGTCTTCGATACAAAAGTAAGAAAAGCAAGAAACAGTCGCAAGCCCCCTCAGATTCCGAAGAAACGGGTGAAGAGAGCACGTGGGACGACAAAGTCGTTGACAAAAACTCAAAAGTTATGAACATTACGGTGAACTCGACTCGTATAGATGCGATTTTGAAGTCAGGTTTGGGGATAGCCAGAAACAAAATCGAGACGTTCTTCTACGAGAGTAAAATACGGCTCAACGGGAAGAAGTTACTCAAGAAGAGCGATTTGGCGCAAGAGGGTGACGAGATCGACGTGGTTAAAGGTGCCAGTGTTACGAACCCGAATTTCTTAACTGTGGCTCGCGTCGAGGTCCTAGGGGTGACTGATAAAGGTGAAACTGTGTCTGTTAAAATCAGGAGATGTAAAAACCTAGCTGTGGAAAAATACGAAGACTATATGTCGTGAATCTAGTGTAATGTAGTAAATAAAGCGTTTCGTTTTCATCTTGTAGATTACTTTATTAAAGTGACGTCACATTTTATTTTAATAAATTATAGTGGCTACAAAAATACTGGCATCGTATTAGTGCATTGCTCAATTAATAAATTATTGCCTATATACAGTCGCTACTTATTTATTGGGAATTAGGGATGAGCTTAAGTCGTTCACTAGGAAATTGTAAACAAAGTTTGCTTTACCCCTATTGGCCTGAGGCTTAGAATTACGTATAGGGTCTCTAAGCAAAATATCACCGAATAATGAAGCCAGAGTTTTAGCGTCGTAACCGTTGTCGTTCGAGTGTCTGAGCATTTCCTGCAGAAACATGCAAATGTATAAGAAGACGTTTCTGTGAATATCCGTCATTTTCTGCTGAATTATCTGGAATGAAAAAGTCGTTGGAAAAATAGGGGTGCAGACGGCTGTGGAACGGCGACGTCTGTCGCGAATAGTTCACACAGTTATGAAAATGACAGATGACGTGAGGTTTGGATTGATACAGGATTAACGCACGTGTCATTGGCATAAATGTGTCCATTAATTTAGTATAAGGCTAAACGAGAAGCAATTGACGTCTGTAAACTCTGATTTTTTTTTTATTTTACGTTTACTGTGAAGTATTTCCGTTCTACCAACATAATAAATTGAAATTGTTTTCACATTTTTATTTTTTATAAAATTCATCAATTTATTTCGGTGGTTCTTAAAAAAAAACACACAAGGAACCCCAGGGATTCATCCACTTTCTAAAAAAATACACAAGGGGCCCCTGAGATTCTTTGATACTTTTCCAAAAGCAATACTCAAAGGGTGCCTAAGATTCTTTCAAACTTTTTCAAAAACTAAAACACACTTTCATAATAAAAAAACACAAAAGCCATTGAGATTCTTTTAAAAAAATTGGTCGAAAGTTGTTTCAACAGAACCTCCCTCGCTCCTGAAGTAGAATGAAACATAAACAATCAGATTTAGGAATTTAACTCGTTGCTGTGGAAATTTGTAATTTAACACCTTTTAGATTTAACTAGTTTTTACAAGATTAATACACGCAAAATCAGTTTTATCTTAGCAAGTACTAGCCCCGCCCACCCGCCCTCTATTTTCTCAGAGGATATGTCATTTGCCAAAATAAATCTTATCTCAGGTTCACCCGCCCTCTATTGTCTTAAAAGGTATGCCATTTGCCTACATGTTAGTATTTGCCAAGATAAGACTGAGTTCGGCAAATGACATAATACTCTGAGAAAATAAGGGGTGGGTGGGCGGGGCTAGTACTTGCTAAGATAAAACTGATTTTGGCAAATGCCAGAACCTCTAAAAAAATAGAGGGCGGGTGGGCGGGGTTAGTAGTTGTCCAGATAAGAGTGATTTTGGCAAATGACAATTCTCTGAGAAAATAGGGGGTGGGTGGGCGGGGCTAGTACTTGCTAAGACAAAATTGATTTTGGCAAATGCCATACCCTCTAAGAAAATAGAGAACCCGGAGATTGTTTCAAAAACAACACAAGGGCACCCCTGAGATTCTATATATTTTTTAACCAACACAAACGACCCCTGAGATTCTTTTAAATTTTTTAGAAAACAACACAAGGGAGCCTGGAGATTCTTTGAAGCTTTTTCAAAAACAACACAAGGACACCCCTGAGATCCTAATTTTTTTTTTTAACAACACAAGCGACTCCTGCGATTCTTTTAATTTTTTTAGAAAACAACACAAGGAAGCTCTGAGATTCTTTGAAACTTTTTCAAAAACAACACAAGGACACCCCTGAGATCCTAATTTTTTTTTTTAACAACACAAGCGACCCCTGAGATTCTTTTAATTTTTTTAGAAAACAACACAAGGGACTCCTGAGATTTTTTTATTATTTTTTTAAACAACACAAGGAAGCCCTGAGATTCTTTTAAATCTTTTAGAAAACAACACAAGGGAGCCTGGAGATTCTTTGAAATTTTTTCAAAAACAACACAAGGAGTCCTCTGAGATTTTATTTTTTTAAACAACACAAGGACTCCCCAGAGATTCCATTTTTTTTAAACAACACAAGGGACCCCTGAGATTCTTTTAAATCTTTTAGAAAACAACACAAGGGAGCCTGGAGATTCTTTGAAATTTTTTCAAAAACAACACAACGACTCCTCTGAGATTCTAATTTTTTTTTAAACAATACAAGCGACTCCTGAGATTCTTTTAATTTTTTTAGAAAACAACACAAGGGACTCCTGAGATTCTTTTATTATTTTTTAAAACAACACAAGGAAGCCCTGAGATTCTTTGAAACTTTTTCAAAAACAACACAAGGAGTCCTCTGAGATTCTATTTTTTTAAACAACACAAGGACTCCCCAGAGATTCTATTTTTTTTAAACAACACAAGGGACCCCTGAGATTCTTTTAAATTTTTTAGAAAACAACACAAGGGAGCCTGGAGATTCTTCGAAATTTTTTCAAAAACAACACAAGGACTCCCCTGAGATTCTAATTTTTTTTTAAACAGTACAAGCGACCCCTGAGATTCTTTTAATTTTTTTAGAAAACAACACAAGGGACTCCTGAGATTCTTTTATTATTTTTTAAAACAACACAAGGAAGCCCTGAGATTCTTTGAAACTTTTTCAAAAACAACACAAGGAGTCCTCTGAGATTCTATTTTTTTAAACAACACAAGGACTCCCCAGAGATTCTATTTTTTTTAAACAACACAAGGGACCCCTGAGATTCTTTTAAATTTTTTAGAAAACAACACAAGGGAGCCTGGAGATTCTTTGAAATTTTTTCAAAAACAACACAAGGAGTCCTCTGAGATTTTATTTTTTTAAACAACACAAGGACTCCCCAGAGATTCCATTTTTTTTAAACAACACAAGGGACCCCTGAGATTCTTTTAAATCTTTTAGAAAACAACACAAGGGAGCCTGGAGATTCTTTGAAATTTTTTCAAAAACAACACAACGACTCCTCTGAGATTCTAATTTTTTTTTAAACAATACAAGCGACTCCTGAGATTCTTTTAATTTTTTTAGAAAACAACACAAGGGACTCCTGAGATTCTTTTATTATTTTTTAAAACAACACAAGGAAGCCCTGAGATTCTTTGAAACTTTTTCAAAAACAACACAAGGAGTCCTCTGAGATTCTATTTTTTTAAACAACACAAGGACTCCCCAGAGATTCTATTTTTTTTAAACAACACAAGGGACCCCTGAGATTCTTTTAAATTTTTTAGAAAACAACACAAGGGAGCCTGGAGATTCTTCGAAATTTTTTCAAAAACAACACAAGGACTCCCCTGAGATTCTAATTTTTTTTTAAACAGTACAAGCGACCCCTGAGATTCTTTTAATTTTTTTAGAAAACAACACAAGGGACTTCTGAGATTCTTTTATTATATTTTTAAACAACACAAGGAAGCCCTGAGATTCTTTGAAACTTTTTCAAAAACAACACAAGGACTCCCCTGAGATTCTATATTTGTTTTAAACAACACCAGAGACCACTGAGATTCTTTTAATTTTTTTAGAAAACAACACAAGGGACGCCTGAGATTCTTTTATTATTTTTTTAAACAACACAAGGAAGCCCTGAGATTACTTCATTATTTTTTTAAACAACACAAGGACTCCCCTGAGATTCTATTTTTTTTAAAACAACACAAGGACTCCCCTGAAATTCTATTTTCTTTTTAAACAACACAAGGGACCCCTGAGATTCTTTTATTATTTTTTTAAACAACACAAGGACTCCCCTGAGATTCTATATTTGTTTTAAACAACACCAGTGACCCCTGAGATTCTTTTAATTTTTTTAGAAAACAACACAAGGGACGCCTGAGATTCTTTTATTATTTTTTTAAACAACACAAGGACTCCCCTGAGATTCTATTTTTTTTTAAACAACACAAGGGGTCCCTGAGATTCTTTTAAATTTTTTAGAAAACAACATAAGGGAGCCTGGAGATTCTTTGAAACTTTTTCAAAAACAACACAAGGACTTCCTTGACATTCTAATTTTTTTTAAACAACACAAGCGACCCCTGGGATTCTTTTAATTTTTTTAGAAAACAACACAAGGGACTCCTGTGATTCTTTTATTATTTTTTTAAACAACACAAGGACTTCTCTGAGATTCTATTTTTTTTTAAACAACACAAGGGGTCCCTGAGATTCTTTTAAATTTTTTAGAAAACAACATAAGGGAGCCTGGAGAATCTTTGAAACTTTTTCAAAAACAACACAAAGGGCTCTTGGGGTTTTTTATTATAATTTTTTTTAACAACATAAGGGAGGTCGGAGATTCTTTGAAACTTTTTCAAAAACAACACGAGGGTCCCCTGAGATTCTTTTATTAAAAAAAAAAAAAACACACAAGAGAGCCCGGAGATTTTTTGAAACTTTTTCAAAAACAACACAAAGGGCCCTTGGAATTTATATATATATATATTTTTTTAAATACGGGAGCCCGGAGACTCTTTGAAACTTTTTCAAAAACAACACAAAGGGCCCTTCGGATTTTTATTATTGTTTTTTTAAACAACATAAGGGAGCTCGGAGATTCTTTCAGACTTTTTCAAATACAACACAAGGGCTCCCCTGAGATTGTATTTTTTTTTTAAACAACACAAGGAAGCCCTGATATTCTTTTAATTTTTTTCGAAAACAACAGAAGGGGACCCGGAGATTCATTTATTATTATTTTTTTTAAACAACAAAAGGAAACCCCGAGATTCTTTTAATTTTTTTAAAAAAACAACACAAGGGAGCCCGGAGATTTTTTGAAACTTTTTCAAAAACAATACAAAGGGCCCTTGGAATTTTTATAATTTTTTTTTAAATACGGGAGCCCGGAGACTCTTTGAAACTTTTTCAAAAACAACACAAAGGGCCCTTCGGATTTTTATTATTGTTTTTTTAAACAACATAAGGGAGCTCGGAGATTCTTTCAGACTTTTTCAAATACAACACAAGGGCTCCTCTGAGATTGTATTTTTGTTTAAACAACACAAGGAAGCCCTGATATTCTTTTAATTTTTTTTCGAAAACAACAGAAGGGAACCCGGAGATTCATTTATTATTATTTTTTTTAAACAACAAAAGGAAACCCTGAGATTCTTTTAATTTTTTTAAAAAAACAACACAAGGGAGCCCGGAGATTTTTTGAAACTTTTTCAAAAACAACACAAAAGGCCCTTGGGATTTTTTTTTAACAAGATAAGGGAGCTCGGAGATTCTCTGAAATTTTTTCAAATACAACACAGGGGTCCCTGAGATTCTTTTATTAAAAAAAACATAAGGGATCTCGGAGATTTTTTGAAACTTTTTCAAAAACAACACAAAGGGCCCTTGGGATTTTTATTATTATTTTTTTTAACATCGTAAGGCAGCTCGAAGATTCTTTGAAACTTTTTCGAATACAACACAAGGGATCCCTGAGATTCTTTGAAACTTTTCCAAAAACAATACATAGGGGTCGCCACGATCCTTTGAAACTTCTTCAAAAACAAAACACAAGAGAGTCCGGAGATTCTTTTTTTACTTTCTCAAAAAATACAGAATGGGTCCCTAAGATTCTTCGAAATTATTTCAAAAACTAAATACAAGAGACTCCGGATTTTTTATTTTTTTTTTTCAAAAACAAAACAGAAGAAATTCTCACGTTTTTTTCAAAAATAAAACATCTGGGGTTCGGAGACCTTTTCATAAAAAAAATATCTCAAATTCTTTCACAATCTTATAAAAGATTAGGAGTCCCCGAAATTATTTCAAACCCTTTTGATAACAAAACAAGAAAGGGCCAAGATTTTTTCAAATTACCTACCTTAAAAATAAAAATCCAAGATTCCCAAAGATTCTTCAAATTCTTAAAAAAACACTAGGCGCAAACAAGATCTTAAAAAAAGCAATAGGAGTCCCCGAGATTTTTTTCAAATTCTTTCAACAATAAAACAGGCACTTCTGCAGTTTTTTTTAAATAAAAAAATATACGAGGGGCCAAGAATGTCCATGCATTTACATTCTCAACAAAATACAAGTGTCCTCAAGATTCTTTCAAAATCTAAAAAAAAAACACAAGAAGTCCAGATTTTTTTTTGATTCTTTCAAAAATTAAGCGCAAGAGTTTTTTCGAAATCTAAAAAAATACGCAACAGAAGGGCGTGTCACAGTCATAACCTCCGCTGCCCCAACGCTGTCACACCTTTAGCTTATAGTTATTTAAGCAGAACTTCCCTTGTCCCTGACGCACAGCCAGTTTTTTAATAAATTATACGCTCAGAAAAAAACGTCTCGTTTAGCCTTAACTCTTCACTCTTTCTTACCAGGCGACAATTTTGATAATTATTAGCTGCCGCTATACACGCATCGTGTATCTCGAACGGTACTACGGGGTCCTTCGTAAAAGACAAAAACAACAAAAAAGCTTCAGCTGTGGCCTGCACGCTACCAGCTATACCAACATTAAGGAAATAGTCCTTCTACTAAAACCACCAAAACATCAAAAGGATACGTATCGGATCTAGAGAGCCATAATCCAACCAGTCCCTAATCCTGATCAGTTCGTCACTCAGAGCACACGACTCGAACAAATCCCTCGTTTTCAAACCATGCCTATACAAGTGGTCGACCAACAACCACAATTCACGAGGAATCGAATACAGTACGCGACTCTCCATGTTTTCCTGTGACCTTTAAAATAAAACAATAGTCGTACACTAATTGCCACTCACCGCTTGCTTCCTTTGTTCTTCAGTCATCTGTAAAAGAGGCACCTGCGCTCTACACAACGTCGCCATACTAGAAGTAAAACACGACTTCTGACAGTCGCCGTTCACTATAATAAACATGTCCTTCCCGCCCTTCAAATGCAAAACCAAAATATCGTAGACCTTGTCCAACTCCCGCTCCAGATTCACCTCGAACTTAATATCGCACTTCTCCCCTACAACCACGATGAAATCCAGAACCGAACTCTGAAATTTTGATTTTCATACCCGGGTCGATGGTGCCGCAGAACGGGGTGATCCTCAACCAGTCCTTACAGAACGTCGCCTCGTCCAGCTTCTTGATGAACTCGAACTCCGCCGGCACTTGGCCCGTATTCGCGATGATGATCTCCCTCGACTGCGGCTCGCGGAACTTCACCAAATCGAACGTCACCTCCGTCTGGTCCACCATCACCTGGGGCAGGAACTCGTTCTCGAGCTTGTCCATCTTCTTCAGCAGGTCTTCGTGCACGCGCCGGAACTTCGACTGGTCTATGACGCTGATTTCGGAACGGAATAAGGCGCTCACCGGTTTGTGGTCGCTGATTCTTATGTCCATATGACTACGATATGCTAGTTGATAAATGCCGTCGCCGCGCCACAGGATTCGGTCCGTCCATGCCGGGGGGCGCGCCTTCTCGCTGGTGTCGAAGTGGTCGCTGTTGAGGTCGTATTTGTACGTCGGTTGGAATGTTATGTCGCCTTCGGTGTAGTCCTGCAATATAACGTTTGGATTGTTGATGCGTCACGGGCTGATAAGAGCGCGTTGTTGGGGTATGACCGCAGAGGCGGGAGAGGATTTGGGTCGGTGTGTTATGGAATTCCCGAGGATGTTTGGTACCGCTTGGGGAACGGGAAGATGGAAATAATAGGCAGATGTGTTGAGTACTTGCATTGTGTTTGCTCTTTAAAGCTGACACTTGTGCTGTAATAGCTGCACAAAAATAGAACGTTTGATGCATGAGTTATGAGGTGGAAAAACACGCTTGTACGATGATGCGTTGCAAGTTGCGAGGTTTTATGAAGTGATGCCATAAAATGGATGAAAAATAGATTAATTATGTGGTTTAATTATGGTGTAGATAAGGGGGCGAAGTCGCTAAGTTATGTATGTAATTAAACTTTATTAAAAAATGTTTAATCGAACAAATTATCAACTTGTTCTGCTTAATTATGAAAAGTGTAATTACAGTGTCGAGCCTATCGAAAATTCTAAATTGGAGAAATAAGTACAAAAAAACTAAAAAAAGACCTTGAAATACAAAATAAGGAATTCTAAAAAATTGGAAATTTTTAAAAATAAGTCTGAAAAAAATACTGCTAAAGTTAGGATTTTGATGATAACACTTCAACATTATTATTAAAATAATATATAAATATCAAAAAATGGAACAAAAAAGGCACTGTAAAAAGGAAAAACAAAAAAAGGGACAAAAACGCAACAAACATGTTATCAAAAAAGTGACGAAAATGCGGTAAGAGTCGACAAAAAAACACAAAAAAAAAACGATAAAAATCGAGGAAGGTGATAAAAAAGATGGAAAAAAGGAGTAACAAAAAAATGGAGATAAAAAACCAACCACAAAAAATAAAAAGGTTAACAAAAAAATCGAGCGAAAAAAACGGCAAATAAACTAAAGGGTGACAAAAACATAAATAAGAGGCAAAAAAAAAAGGGGGCGACAAAAGAACATATAAAACAAGGATGATAAAAAAGCGAAAAAATCGACGGCAAAAAAGCGACGAAAAGAGGGGTTATAAAAATTGACGATAAAAATAGGTCAAAGAAAAACACGACAGACAGGGCAGGAAACTGAGCGTCAAATAAACAGAGACAAAAAAGGGCGAAAAAATGGGAAAGGCGACAAAAAGAAGGTGGAAAGAGGAAAAAAAGACGATAAAAAACGACAAAAACTGAAAACAAACCCGGCAAAAAAAAATTAAAAAGTGACAGAAAAGGCCAAAAGAAAAGACAACAAAAATGGTCAAAAAAAAAGGAAAAAAAGCGATAAAAAGGTGACAAAAATGGCGATAAAAAAAGGGAAAAAGACGGCCACAAAACAAACAAAATTAATTAAAAAAAAAAAAAAATGAAAAAACAGACTAGACAAAAAAAGGGGGGAAAAGGGACTAAATGAAGCGAAAAAAAAGGGAAAATTTAACAAAAATGCCAAAAACCGATTATGAATACAAAAAAAGCCACCAAAGCAGCCAGAAAAAAAAGCCAATAAAAAAGACAACAAAAACCGCGATACAAAAGGACCAAAATACTGGAAATGCTACTGGAAACATATGCACAATAATGAAAAAGTAATAAAAAAAGGCATAACAAACAAAAAATTATGGAAGGAGGATGAAAGGGTGGACACAAAAAAAAAAAAACTTAAAAAAAGCGGCGAAAAAAAGGAAATAAAAAAGCCAAGCACAAAAAAATGAAAAAGTTAACAAGAAATGTTGCTAAAAAAAGGCAAAAAAAAAACGGCAAATAAAATACAGGGTGACAAAAATGACGATAAAAAGTGAGAAAAACAGATTAGACAAAAAAAAGGGCGGGGACAAAGGATTAAATGAAGCAAAAAAAGGGGGAAATACGACAAAAATGCCAAAAACCGACTATGATGACAAAAAAAGCTACAAAAAAAGTCACCAAAAAGTGAAAAAAAACCATAAAAAACAACAAAAATCGCGATACAAAAGGACCAAAATAGTGGAAATGTGTACTGAAACATGTGTACAATAACGAAAAAATAATCCAAAAAAACCGGCATTTTAAACAAAAAATTATGGATGTGTGGAAGAGTGGATATCAAGAAAAAGACTAAAAAAAAGCGGCAAAAAAAAGAGCAAAAAAAAAGGTCCGTGAAAAAAACCGACAGCAAAAAAAAATGCAACTTAAAAAAAACGAAAAAAAAAATAAATAAAAAGCCACCAAAAGAGAGGTAACAAAAATTGACGATAAAAATAGATCAAAGAATTTAGAAAAACACGTAAGAAAGGACAGGAAACTGAGCGTTAAATAAACAGAGGCAAAAAAAATAAAAAAAAAATGGGAAAGGCGATAAAAAGAAGGTGGAAAGAGGGAAAAAAAGCGGTTAAAAAAACGACAATAAATTGAAAAAATACAAAAAAATACTCCTCATAAAAAAGTGACAGAACAGGCCACAAAAAAAGATAACAAAAATGGGCAAAAAAAGGAATAAAAAGGTGAGGAAAAAAAGAAACAAAAAGGTGACAAAATGGTGAATAAAAAAAAGAGGGAAAAAACAGCAAACCAAACGTCAAAAAAACAGCGACAAAAAAAAAATAGAAAAAAATGCCATAAAACTGAAAAAAAGACGAAGACAAAAAAAGGCAGGGAAAAGGGACTAAATAAAGCGAAAAAAAAAGAAAAATGCCAAAAACCGACTATGATTACTTAAGCTACAAAAAAAGCCACTAAAAAGCAAGGAAAAAAAAATACGATAAAAAAAACAACATACTAGATACATGTGCACAACAATGAAAAAATAATCGAAAAAACAAACAAAAAAAAGGCACATCAAAAAAATTATGGGGGGGGGGGGGGAGATGAGAAAAAGACCAAAGAAAGTGGCAGTAACACATAATGGAGATAAAAAACCAACTACAAAAAAATTAAAAAGTTAACAAGAAATGTTGCTAAAAAGGCAAAAAAATCCAGGAAAAAAACTCGGCAAATAAACCAAAGGGCGACAAAGAACATAAAAAAACAACAAAAAAGGGGCGACAGAAGAAAGTGTAAAAAAAGTCCTTGAAAAAGACTTATAAAAAACGTGAAAAAAACGACGGCAAAAAACGGCACCTAAAAAAAAGCAAAAAAAAAAACTAAAAAAAAAATAAAAATAGGTCAAAGAATTTAGAAAAACACGACAGAAAGGATAGGAAACTGAGCCCCAAATAAACGGAGACAAAAAAAAATAAAATAGAGGAAAAAAAACGGCAAACCAAACGTCAAAAAACAGCGATAAAAATATACAAAAAACAGACACAAAAGTGAAAAAAAGACTAGACAAAAAAAAAAGCGGGAAAAGGGGACTAAATGAAGCGAATAAAAAAAGTAAAAATGCGACAAAAACCGACCATGATTACTTGAAAAATCGACAAAAAAAAGCCACCAAAAAGCGAAAAAAAAACAAGAAAAACAACAAAAACCGCGAAAAAAAAACCAAAATACTGGAAATGCTACTGAAACATGTGCACAAAAATAATCGAAAAAAACAAGAAACAAACGGCATATTAAACAAAAAATGGGGGGGGGGGTAACAAAAAATGACTAACGAAAGCGGCAAAAAAAGAGTAACAAAAAATGGAGATAAAAAACCAACAGCAAAAAAATTACAAGAAATGTTAAAAAGGCAAAAAAGTTGAGGAAAAAAAACGGCAAATAAATCAAAGGGCGACAAAAAACATAAAAAACGGGTGACAGAACAAAGTATAAAAAAACCCTTGAAAAAGAATGATAAAAACGTGAAAAAAAGGGACGAAAAAGAAAAACAAAAGGGACCAAAAGAGGGGCAGCAAAAATTGACGATAAAAATAGGTCAATGAATTTAGAAAAACACGACAGAAAGACAGGAAACTAAGGTGAAAAGAGGGGGAAAAAAGGCGATTAAAAAACGACTAAAATTGAAAACAAATTCGGCAAAAAAATGCCAAAAAAAAAAATAAGAAAGTAACAAATGGCCACAAGAAAAGACAACAAAAATGGGCAAAAAAAGGAACAAAAAGCGATGAAAAGGTGACAAAAATGGAGATAAAAAAATTAAAAAATACGGCAAACCAAACGGCAAAAAAACAGACAAAATAAATAATAAAAAAAAAAACCAAATGACAAAAGGTTAAAAAGCAGACTAAACAAAAAAAAGGGGAAAAGGGACTAAATGAAGCGAAAAAAATTGGTCTAAAGAGTTTAGACAGTACTTCCCTCGCTGTCGGAAATGTGACGACTGCATGCCTATTATGTTTTTTTTCGCAGTGGATTTCAAAGAATTCGGTTTTGTAGTTCCTGATTAAATCAATAAAATATATTTACGCATTCATTAATTTTTTTGAGTCACTCTGTATATGCAAATCCAAAAAATATGAATGGAGTGATAAATGACAAGTACAGGCTCATCATATTTTGTACATTTTAGATATGATTTATTCGGCAAACTTTCGAGCTGACGTCATCAAGTTTTTGGAGGGGATAAGCAAATAAATTGTGACTAAACATTTATTATGCTCTTTATGACCTTAAAACATCTGCAAGATTTCAGAGCATTCGGTTTTGTAGTTCCTGATTAAATCAATAAAATATATTTACGCATTCATTAATTTTTTTGAGTCACCCTGTATATGCAAATCCAAAAAATATGAATGGAGTGATAGATCACAAGTACAGACTCATCATATTTTGTACATTTTAGATATGATTTATTCCACAAACTTTTGAGCTGACGTCATCAAGTTTTTGGAGGGGATAAGCAAATATTTTTTGACTAAAGATTTATGATGCTTAAATGACTCCTTAAAACATCTGCAACATTTCAAAGCATTCTGGTTAGCAGATTAAAAATTAAATTTCAAAATGTTGTTTTATAATTTTGATTTTTTTTCCAAAAATCTGGACGTTTCGGGTGAAAAGTCGATTCAGAGTTGTAAACTACATGTGTAGGACTATGTTATTTTATACAATTGAAAACCCATTTACTATGTACAATTTTGAAGTGACGTCATCGCATTAGTGGTGGGGATGATTAGACAAATTTTGGTTAGCGTTTTACCATCTACATGATATTCTTAATATAAGTACAAAATTTCACAACAATCGGTCGAGTACTTTCGGAGATTATCTGTCTAATAAAATCCGGGACAACAGACGGACAGACGGACGGACAGACGGACGGACAGACAGACGGAAATGGGAGACCTATTTCTTCGTCTTCTAGGGGTCATGAAAGATCGAGAAAACGTAAAAGTAGAGAGTCGGCCGACGGACTCGATTACAATACTTCCTTTGCTTACGCTCGGGAAGTAAAAAGTAAAAAAAAAATACAAAAAAATACAAAAAAAAAGATAACAAAAATGGGCAAAAATAAAGGAACAAAAAGGAGATAAAAAGGTGACAAAAATGGCGATAAAAAAGAGGGAAAAAAACAGCAAACCAAACGTCAAAAAAAAAACAAATGACAAAAAAGTGAAAAAAACACAAGACAAAAAAGAGGCGGAGACAAAAGACTAAATTAAGCAAAAAAAAGGGAAAAATATGACAAAAATGCCAAAAACCGACTATGATGACAAAAAAAAGCAACAAAAAATTGAAAAAAAAGCCAATAAAAAACAACAAAAATCGCGATACAAAAGGACCAAAATAGTAGAAATGCTACTGAAACATGTGCATAATAATGAAAAAATAATAAAAAAAAAACGCTATATAAAACAAAAAATTATGGGGGGGAGAATATTAAAAAAAGACTAAAAAAGCGGCGAAAAAAATCAACTAAAAAACAAAAAAAGACGACAAAAATATAAAAAAGCGACCAAAAGAGAGGTAACAAAAATTGACGATAAAAATAGATCAAAGAATTTAGAAAAACACGTCAGAAAGGACAGGAAACTGAGCGTCAAATAAACAGACAAAAAAAAATTTAAAAACGCAAAAAAAATGGGAAAGGCGAGAAAAAGAAGGTGGAAGGAGGGAAAAAAAGCGGTTAAAAAACCGACAATTGAAAACAAATCCGGCTAAAAAAATACAAAAAAAAAAATAAAAAAGTGACAGAAAAGGTCACAAGAAAAGACAACAAAAATGGGCAAAAAAAGGTGAGGAAAAAAAGGGAACAAAAAGGTGAGAAAAATGGTGAATAAAAAAAGAGGGAAAAAAACGGCAAACCAATGTCAAAAAACAGCGACAAAAAGTAGAAAAAAAAAGACTAGACAAAAAATGCGGGGAAAAGGGACCAAATAAAGCAAAAAAAAAGTAAAATGCGTCAAAAATGCCAAAATCCGACTATGATTACTTGAAAAAGCTACAAAAAAGCCACCAAAAAGCAAGGAAAAAAAAAGACAAAAAAATTGCGATAAAAAGGGACCAAGAAACTAGATACATGTGGACAACAATGAAAAAATAATCGAAAACAAAAAAAGCATATCAAAAATTATTATGGGGGGGGGGGGGGGGGGGATAAGAAAAAAAGACTAAAGAAAATGGCAAAAAACAGTAATACATAATGGAGATAAAAAACAGCTACAAAAAATTAAAAAGTTAACAAAAAACGTTGCTAAAAAAGAAAAAAAAAAGGAAAAAAAAAACGGCAAATAAACCAAAGGGCGACAAAAAACATAAAAAAGACAACAAAAAAGGGGCGACAGAATAAAGTATAAAAAAGGCCTTGAAAAAAAAAAAGATAAAAAACGTGAAAAAACCGACGGCAAACAAAAAAAAAGCAAAAAAAAAATTACAAAAAGCGACAAAAATTTACGATAAAAATAGGTCAAAGAATTTATAAAAACACGACAGAAAAGATAGGAAACTGTGCCTCAAATAAACGGAAACAAAAAAAAAAAAAAGGGAAAAAAAAACCGGCAAACCAAACATCAAAAAACAGCGATAAAATATATACAAAAAACAAGACACAAAAGTGAAAAAAGACTAAACAAAAAAAAAGGGGGGAAAAAAAAGAACCAAAATACTGGAAATGGTACTGAAACATGTCCACAACAATGAAAAAATATGTAATCGAAAAAAACGGCATATTAAACAAAAAATGGGGGGGGGGGGGAGAATAACAAAAAAAAAAAACACTAAAGAAAGCGGCAACAAAAAAAGTAACAAAAAAATGAGATAAAAAACCAACCGCAAAAAAATTACAAGAAATTTTGTTAAAAAAAAATGAGGAAAAAAACGGCAAATAAACTAAAGGGCGACAAAAAAAACATACAAAATACAACCAAAAACGGGTGACAAAACAAAGTATAAAAAATCCCTTGAAAAAGAATGATAAAAAACGTGAAAAAAAACCGACGGCAAAAAATAGGCATGAAATAAAACAAAAAAAAGGACGAAAAGAAGGGTAGAAAAAATTGACGATAAAAATATCTAAATTCATTGACTTATTTTTATCGTCAATTTTTTCTACCCCTCTTTTCGTCCTTTTTTTTTGTTTTATTTCATGCCTATTTTTTGCCGTCGGTTTTTTTTTTTCACGTTTTTTATCATTCTTTTTCAAGGGACAGAACACGACAGAAAGGACAGGAAACTGAGGTGAAAAGAGGGGAAAAAGGCGATTAAAAACGACAAAAATTGAAAACAAATCCGCCCAAAAAATGCCAAAAAAATGGTCAAAAAAGGAGCAAAAAAGGCGATAAAAAAGAGAAAAAAAAATACAAAAAAATGACAAAAAAAATAAAAAAAGGAGGGAAAAGAGGACTAAATAAAGCGAAAAAAAACAGAAAAATGCGACAAAAATGCCACAAAAAAGGCCAAACTAAAAAAACGATGAGAAGGGCGACAAAATATAAGAGAAAAAACGACAAAAAAAACTACAAAAAAATGCGGAGAAAGGCAAAAAATAAAAAAAAGGCGACAAAAAGACGCAAAAAGCAGGTAAGCAGATCCTTTGATTCTAATTATGAAAATAGTTAGAAAAACCTAAAATACAGTTTTTGCAAACGAATCATCGCTATTTACGAACGTGTCCTGAATAGCACATGAAACCGCAAAAACTGTATTTTGGATACCAGTCCGAAAAAGACTCATTTTACGGACTTTAATGAGTCCATGAAACAGCTATTTTTGGAAGCGCATACCAACAAAAAATGATAAATGTCACTAGAAAACTTATGAGTATGTGCTAAAATTTATGAATACAACTCAAGAAGTTAAAATTCAAAAATGTGTAATGACCTTGACAAAAAAACCCAATCGTGACGACTCGTAGTCATTTTCCAAAAAAATCTATACATACATATTTCTTGAGAGGAACTGACTAAAAATCGTTCCCTAAAAACAAAATAAACAAAATCAACATCCCAAAAACAATCAAAATGGACATAAATAACATCAACATTTGCAAAAAAATCTAAACAAATATTGACAAAGTAAACTAAAAATAGAATAAAAAAAATATTTTTATTAAAAAACATTCAGGCATGTACCGCGCCCTATTTTTTTTATCATTCATCAGACTTCATTCACGTTTTATATGTGATAACTTATCATATTTTTAAATACTGAACAAAAAAGTTTGATTGATTTTGCCAGTGGTGTACCTTAAAATTATCATTATCTACAAACATTTCCTTACTGAGTCACTACTCAAATGCACAGCCACTCCACGCCCTTGATAAGATAAACTCCAAGTGCTGGCTAATTTAAAAATTGGATAAAACACTCACCAAGAGAACGCTTCCACGCTCCTTTTGCTGATTCAACTGATCTGCCTTAAGTAACGTTATCATCTCGCTCCTAGCCAACAGCGTCTTAACCTGATTAGTGTTTAAGTCCGTTATTCTATAATTAAGATCTCCTAACCAATACACATGTCTGCAAGACACAATTAACACAAACACAAACTTTCATTGAAGTTCTTACTCATGATCTTTAATAGAGGGAGGCTGTTTCCGAAAATTAATCCTAGCATTTATATCCTTATAATCTTGATTTCTCCTTTCAAATTCTTCAACGTGAGCTGCTAAATGACAGTTTACAAAGCAAAGGGAGGTGTTATGGAGCTCTAATCTGACAGCGACGCCTCCTTTATTCCCCTACAAACAATAACAAATGCAAAATTTGGTTTTTAGCGTGACTTGAGTACCATTTTGCCCAGAAGTCCCGTGCCGACGGTGTCTACAGACACGTTTTTAACAAACTGGTAATGTTTGCTGTTTACCAGAACTACAAGCTGCATTCCTACCAACCGTGTTACCGCTACTGACTTATACTTGGCTTTAAAGTGGACACCATCCATCACATATTTTCTGAATAATAACACTCACTTAAAAATAAATAAATAAAGTAATAAATAAAAAACCTACAACCACTCAGCTTCTCTGGGGGTGTCATTAAAAAGGAATGCTTCTTTACTTAAGTCAATTTCTTGGAATCCTATTGCATACACGTCAGGGGGTTCTTCATCACAGCTGAGCCATGGTCTCAAAGACACTGATGGAGGTTGCCCATTCACGTTCCATGTTCCAACAAAAACGCTAAACTTTATTATTAATAAATTATGTGTAGAGTGAGAAGTACCTGAATTCTTGGTGCTGGGTGTATTCAGGCTCTTTCAACTTCAACTGGTATCTCAAAATGGACTCTCTATTTGACGCTGCTTGTCCATGGGCTAATTGATGACGTAAGACCGGTATATCTGAACACTGACAATTTCCCATTAATACTATTATAACACACAAAAATAATTATGATTACCTGGTCTGACATTTCTGACATTTTTTTACTGTTTTGATCTAAGGTGGCGCATGTATATTTACCCAACCAATTAAAATCTAATTTGTTCGAAGACGATACTTCCTTTGACCAAATAACTTCTGACGCGAAGTTCGAACTCTCCACCCCGATTTCAATCTTAAACTGTAATTTCCTATTCCTATACGAAACAATAAAAATAATATGACTCTGACAGTTATCTATAGGTTCTGTATCTGCAAAATAACGATTAGAACGAATTTAATCACCGCTCCACCTTACCACAGGAAAAATTTGAATCTATTGGAATCGCAGTTTCAACTGAAAGGTCTGAAATACTGCTGGGTTTCGGCTTTTTCGTAATGAACACAAAAAGTGCATAGGATGAATTACATTCAACTAAAGCTAGGATTCTGTGGACCTCGTTCCAAGACTCGTTCACTGGGGAGACATTTAAATGTATCTAGGGTGGAATTAAGGAAAATAGTGCCCCAAATTCAACCACAAACGCACTCAAAGGATACGCATTTAACGACTTCGGTGGACGAGAATTTCGACTGTACTATATTAACGACATCTTGGTATACTACTAACATAATTGAATCTTCAAATGAAATCCATCGTTTACGCTCCAATTAAAAGTGTGCGGTAAATCGCGGAGATAACAGCGAAATTTACTGATCTCTCATCCATCAACATAACCTCTCCGCCCACCCAGCGCTGCCAACCGACGACAAAAGCGCTAGATTTTTGAACTAAGAAAGTAACTTGAATTTGAACGACATAATAGTCGTTGTCTGGGTACAAATTTACGAACTTATAGCTTATCAGTGACGTTACAATATACCAAGAGATTTTGTCAACAAAAAAACAAAAAGTTCTGTTTTCAATTTTTGTTTTGTCAAGTTTGCAGGTCACACTTTTGTCCCCAATCTAGCAGGCGCGCTCTGTCAATTTTAAAACAAGCGAATCGCCCGACAGTTTCGTAATTGTTGCAAATTCTGCAAAAACTGCTAATTATCTTCGATTTTTGATTCTCTTTTTTGCGAAATGAGTGACTGGGTGCATTGCAATAAATGCTGCATAAAGTACGGCGGCCAAACCAGCTTTTTCCTGGTGGAATGCGGCCACATTTTCTGCCAGCGTTGTGTGGAAACGATAAGTAAGTTTTCTTAGTTTCTGGACCAAAATACCTGAAAATGTGTTTAAATTTGTAAGGAACGACCCGAAAATGTGTCCTGTGCAACAAGAGTGGCAATATTTTACCTCTGAACAAAGATTTGGAGCAATCGGTTCTCGATTTTTTCCTCCCGATGGAGAATATCTTCAGAAAGGGGAGCGAGGTGAGTGAGAACAAAGCAATTTTTAATTCGTGACGTTATTGTTGCTAAGAGAATTAATTTAGACAGAAATATAAAAAAAAAGTTAGATTTTTCGTATGAACGCTGCCTACGTGATTTTCATTGTAACATTGGTGAGGCGAGTATTGTTGGTTGCATACCAACAAATATCCCTACAAAATATGCAAAATCATACTACTGTCATTGTTTAAGTATATTATAGTTGGACAACCTATACGGACAATCACTTTCCCATGCAGAAAAGAATGAATATATATTTTACATCTCACTCGCTTCACTATGAAGTGGCGGTACCTTACGAAAGGGGGTAAAAATAGTCCGTAAGCACGTGATGTCGATAAGGTAGTAAACGGACGTATTAATCAGTACGTTGTACGGGGAGCAGTCACAAAATAAGCAAACGTACGTGTTGAAGACTTTACATATATGTAATATATGTATATGTAGTGCATACCTGTTTCAAGGTTAAGGTAACAAAAATTTAATATTATCGCGGTATACCTATTATCCATGAACTGCATGGCTAACAAATATGCGTTCCTTCGTCCACTTTAAAGGTACGAAATTAAACGACTACTACTTTAATTAATAAGTAACAAGTCATCTAATCTGCCTCCAGAATAACTATGAGTTATCATCAAACTATGAACAGCAAATGAACTCAATATGAACATCTTCTTACGTATTTTTTTTTATTAACAGTAGTCAAGTCATTAAATACATATTAGCTTTGAAACTAAAATGCATTTTATCCTAAGATTGTATCACAAAATATTCATCACCATTTAAATATATACGATTTAGACATCAAGAAATAAATTTAAAATTGCAAAAATTATACTAAAACAGCCTTAAATATGTCTTGTATGTACGTGCTTATCAGTATGTAGGCACAGCAATAATCGTTCTTTATGAGTAATGACTGATGACTACTGTAACACAGTAAATCCTCGAAATCGAAAATTTAAAACACTGAAAAATTCAAATATGGGAAAATTGTAAAATCGAGAAATCGAAACATAAAAAAATCAAAAAAATAAAAATTGGAAAATCTAAAATTTAAAAATCGAGAAATTGAACAATCGGTTAATTCAAAAATCGAAACATCGAAAAATTGGAAAATCGAAAAATAAAAAAAAATTGGACAATCGAAAATTTAAAAATTCCGAAAATTGAAAAATTGAAATATAGAAGAACTGAAAACTCAAAAAATCGAAAAAAATTAATAATTTCAAAAATTGAAAAGTTAAAATTGAGAAATCGAAAAACTGAAAAATCACAAAATTGAACGAAATATCAAAAAATTCGGAAATTAAAAAATTGAGAAACAGAAAAGTCAAAAAAGCAGAGTCTAAAAATCGCAAACTTAAAAAATTGAAAAATTGAAAAATCAAAAACCTGAATAATCGAAAAATTGAAGAACTGAAGAACTGAAAAATCGAAACTTTAGGAAGTGGAGAAATGGGAATATAAAAAAATAGATTAATTGAGAAATCCGAAAACTAAAAATTCAGAAACGTCAAAATTTGAAAAATAAAAAAACATTGAAGAACTGAAAAATCGAAAAATCTAAAATTTAAAACATTGAAAAGTTAAAATATCCTAAAACTGAAAAATGGAGAAATCCAAACATCAAAAAATCAAAAAAAAAAACAAAATTTAATCATCGGAAAAACTGAAAAATCAACGAATCGAGAAGTCGAGAATTTAAAAAATTGGACAATTGAAAAATCGGATAAATCAAAAATCAAAACATCGAAAAATCGAGAAACCGAAAAGCAAAAAATCGAAAAACCAACAAATTGAAAAATCGAAACATTGTAAAATTCAAAAATTGAGACATCGAGAAATCGAAAAATCAAAAGACAAAAAAACCGAGGAGTCGAAAAATCGAGAAGTCGAAAAATCAAAAAATTGAGAAACCGAAATAGACCAAAATCGAAAAATTGAAAACTTAAATATGGAAAAATTGATAAAGCGAGAGATTGAATAATTAAAACATCGAAACATCCGAATCTCAATGAATTGAGATTTAAAAAAATTTAAACATTCGGAAATTAAAAAAATTAAAATATAGAACTGGAAACTCGAGAAACCGAAAAATTTAGAAATTTAAAAATTAAAATATGAAAAAGTTGAAAAATTGAGAAATTGAAATAAAAAACAAAAAACTGAAAATCCAAAACTAAAAAATAGAAAAATCTAGAACTCGAAAAATGAAAAAGAATCGAAGAATCGAAGTATTGAAAAATATCAAAACTGAAAGAAATATCCAAAAATTGAGAAATCGACAAACCAATAAAGCGAAGTCGAAAAATCGAAGAATTGAAGAACTGAAAAATCGAAACTTTGAGAAGTGGGAAAATCAAAAATAGATTAATTGAGAAATCAGAAAACTGAAAATTTAACGCAAAAATTTGAAAAATTCAAAAATTTAAATACTGAAGAACTGAAAAGTCAAAAAATCGAGAAATCGAAAAAACTAAAATTTAAAACAATGAATACGCAAAATTGAAGAATCGAGAAATCCAATTCAATTTGAAAAATTGAAAAATTGAAAAATCGTGGCATTGAAAAATTGGAAAATCCAGAAATTGAAAAGCTCAAAAGAAAAAAATCGAAAAACCCAGAAATCCAAAAATCAAAACATCGAAAAATTCAAAAACTGAGACTTCGAGAAATCGAAAAATCGGAGGATCGAGAAATTGAGGAGTCGGAAGCCGAAAAGGAAAGTTAAAAATTGAAAAATTGAGAAATTGAACAATCAAAACAACGAAACATCTGAATTCGATAAATTGAGAAATTAAAAAATTTAATAATCGAAAAATTTTAAAAAAGAAAAACTGGAAAATCAAAAAATCGAAAAATTGAAAAATTGAAATATCGAAGAACTGAAAACTCGAGATATCGAAAAACCTAGAATTTTAAAAAATGAAATATTAAAACATCGAAAAGTTTAAAAATTGAGAAATCGAAGCATTAAACAGTCGCAGAATTGAAAAATCTAAACTTTACAATAAATTGAAAATCCAAAAAGGAAAAAAGCGAGAAATCAAAAAAAATCCATCAATTCAAAAATCGAAAAGTCGAAAAATTGAAATATTGAAAAATCTCATAACTGAAAGAAATATTCAAAAAATTGATAAATTAAAAAATTGGAAAATTGAGAAATCGAAAATCTAAAAAAGCAAAATTGAAAAATCGTAATCTTAAAAAATCGAAAAATTGAAGAATTGAAAATGTGAAAAGTCGAAACTTTAGGAAATCCAGAAATGGACAAATAAAAAAAATACTTTATAAATCGGCAAACTGAAAATTTAAAAACGTGAAAATTTGAAAAATTGAAAAATCCAAGTATTTAAAAACCGTAAAATTGAAGAGGACAAAAATTGAGAAATCGTACCATTGAAACATCGAAAGATTGAGAAATCGAAAAATAAAAAAAATCTAGAAATAGAAAATTTAAAGAATGGAGGAATCGGAAAAGCCCAAAATTGAAATATTGAAAAATTGAGACATTTAAAGTTGAAAAATCGAGAAATCGACAAGCCGAAAATTCCCAATAGCGTATTTAGGTATAAATCACAAGATCAGGACTATTCTACTTTTTAAAATTTAAATAACATTATAAATTGGAAAATGTTGATTTTTTTCCAAAAATCTTGACGTCTAAGGTGAAAACTCGACACGGATGCATAAACCGTAAACGGGGCGAAACTACAATTTTACTATTGTAAAATTTTGAGATTGCGTAATTTCATTGTTCGTGACAAATTTTGGAGAGTGTAATTTGATAATACAATTTGAAATGTAAATTTTGTCATTCGGGAACATTATGTATTAAATCGTTAAGATGTTCAAGAACTTTGTTCACTTATTCGTTGTAAAGTCCAATGGTCGAAATGGGTTAGTTCTTCGTAGTGGATGTGTATCACATCAACTCTAACGAATATCGGTTTATAGATAAATCGCTTAAAGCCGATATTGGCCTGAGTGAGCTTTGGTCTGTAGATCAAACAAGTTCTCAGGCGATGAAAAATTGCATGTGGAGGGAGACTTCGGATTACAAATCGTGTCAAGAAAGACATATTTGGGAGAGATGGATTTTCAGGTGCTTGACTAGCGGTAATTTTAAATTGTTTGCTGTCGTTCGCGAAGTGAAGAACACAATTTCATTAAAATGATAATTATAAAATTATCATAATCACTATTGGTGTTAATTAACACAAAATGGCGCGCAAGTTATCAGTTGATTTCGTTAATAAATTCATAGAAACCTATATGGGATTTTTTCATGCCTTAGAAGATTAAAAAGTAAAAAATACAATAACAAAAATTTTAAAATGCGGTTTACGAAAAATTAGTTGACTTGTGCAAAAATGAAAATTTTGGAAACGCTGACAAATATGACATCTTAAAAAAAATAACACTTGAAGAAGTGCTTTCGGCGTAATATTTTTGATGCTCGCGTGAACAAAATACTCTATGTCAGTGTGCAGTGCGCAAAGAGTTAACTGTGCAGATCTAGCCGAAAATCCAAAAACGAAATCGCTGTGTGTAGGGCCAGCATAACGGAAGTAATAAATCATCCCATGGGTTGAAGAACGTTGGGTCGGTGCACTGATGTCGGTGTTATATTCCGAGAGAGGCCCAATACACCCAATAAAATCGAACAGACAAAATAAAGCTTCAAACATGATTATTTTTATACTAAAATTCTGACGTTTATAAACTGCAAATTTTATTTATTTATTTATTTATTTATTTATTTATTTATTTATTTATTTATTTATTTATTTATTTATTTATTTATTTGATCTTGTTTTCGAACTATAATAAACATTTCAAACAATGTCTGTAACTTATTTTAATGTAAATTATATTCATGTGGTTAACAAAATCAGATGTAATATTAGTGTGATTTTGACCTTATTCTAGATTTTATTACAGCAGAACGGTGTATCCTTTTTAAATTTTAGAAGTTACGGAAACTAGTTCAAGAACCAATTAGTCATCTCGTATTTTTGGAACAAAATCTACCAAAATGTCCGATAACAGCAATTGTTTTTCATAGAAACAAACAGTCTTCAAAGCAGCCTTTAACAACTCAATATTACAAACATGCCTCTTAAGTTCTTAATGCGTTTTTTCTCTCTCTTGTAATTATTTGTAATGTTAATGCCGAAAGTTTATGTCATTCTGTTATTTACTTTGAACATATATTTTCATTTTGTGTTAATATTTTTGTAACACCACGAATCTAAATTTTACTTAAAATCTTGTTTTACTTTAATCTTGTAAAACTAAACAATTATACCAGTTTAAAAACCCTTGGAAAGTTTCTGTCAGTCTTCAGATATAGTCAAATAAAAATAGGCGTCAAATTCATTTAAATTCAATTCTTTCGTATCACGTTACAACGCGTTACTTCATATTTTTTATGTCAAGTATATTTTCGTATTTTGTACATATATGTTTATACACATTACTGTTTACGGAACAATGTTAATTATGGATTTATGGATAACTCCTCGTATAAGAGCAGAGTGAAGGGTGTTTGCCTTTGCTAATGTTTGATGGCGCCATCTGATTTAGAGTAAAATAAACCTAATACGTTGGCTCACTGTAGTGAAAATGCGCGTTGACGAAAAATTTGTCCCACGCCCCCTGGATTCCTTGTCCTAAAGCTCACTATTTAGGCGAAGTAAAATTTGTATTAGGTTGTCCAACTATAATATACTTAAACAATGCTACTGTTTAAGAAAATCTTTGTCAAAATGACACATTTACACTATTGGAAAGGGTCATGAAATCAAACTACTCTCCTCAATCACTTTTGTCTTTATTGCGACATGTTTCGACACCATCTTCAGTCACCTACAAGTTACTTAACCACTATTGACAGATCTACAGGTTTCAACTCCAACAACGCACTTTGTTGTATCAGAAACTGATGGACAAGTACAACTACGCTAAAAAGGAATATATGAATTGCTCCACCAACAACAAGCACCTCCAGAAAGAAAATCAGATGCTTCGGTCCATGCTGCGGGTGAATATTGACCGCAGTTTTTCCCCGACTATTTAATTTTCCGATATATTAGGCAGGCAAGAATTCACAGCGATTTGTTACGAGCACCCCCGTTTCGCAGCCATCGCTATCCGAGGGAAACGTGACATTCCAGAATGCATCGCTGTTGTCTTCCATACCTGCTGCAACGCGAACGCCCTCTGCGAAAATGTACCCTGGATATTCCAAGCGAAGTGTAAGTAAATTCATTGCAGTCGGAAATCGCGACCCTATTTTTTCAACAAATTTGTTAATTTGCAAACCGGCATAAAACCATAAAGGTTACTAGAGCACAAATTCGCTTGTGTTGACTTTGTAATTGGTTGTTTACAGGTAAAATAGCATTATTTGACAATTTCGTACGATTATTACATAAAATTCCAATATTTGCTATTTAGGTAATTGGTAAGTACACAGATAGCGACCTATATTTGTTTAGTTTCATGCAAATATGAACCCGTCGATAATTTAAGGAGTGCATCATGTGTTTGTGCGGCTTATGCAGGAATCTGGTATTCGCGTTGCGCAACTTGTAGGTATGTAAGGTATAATTCGCACACATGCTTCTCGTACGCAAACTTTCTCGCATCGTTTTGTCTGTTCATGACGAGAAGCTATTATACGTATATTGGGTACTCGGTATTGCTATGATAACATGAAAGCAACAATGCTACGATATAATGCGATTCATAAAATTAATGTGTGCTGTAATGTCGATATAACAATGGTTCCTTTGTGCCTAATTACCGATTGTTGGAAGGAGACTTTAAGCTGTTTTACCCATTGTAAGGAGAAAATAGAATTTTGACCTAGACGATCGAAAAAACAATTATTGTGTGTGTTCCGATCCGATTGATTAAAACGGAAAAAATAGTTCCGAAGTACTACGTAATTTTGTTAACAATGCCATCCAGACGGAAAGTTTTCATACGCTTTCCGCAAATGCTGCCAATTGTAGTTTAAACACAATGGATATTTTAATTCAGGAGTTCGAGTACAAAAGGCATGAAAATGTGAAATGTATCATCGGCGGTGATAATTTATAACAGGAAGCACATATTACTTGGCAAGGTTGTAATTTCGCGAAATCGGAACATCGCGATTGACAGTTTTTTACGCGATATCGGGTGTATAAATTCGGCGATGAATACTTTATAACGCCGGTGCACTTTTCCGGGCAAAATTTTCATGAAATATTAGCCCATTCTTGAAAAATATATCGATAATCTTAACACTTATTATGATTAATAGAGCCATAAATAACATTATATTACCGGCTTCAATATAATTCAAAGCAATCGATTTTTACTTGCCGTTTCTTCACGTGGCAATAATAATTTCCTTTAATCTTCGAATGAATCACTTGCGAATAGTTGAAATGCATCAACAAATAATTCACCCACATTGAGGAAAGGTTACATAACGTAAGAAGGTCGCGTACACGAAATGACACAATAATAATTGCATGTTTACATAGAAACGATCGGTACTTTATTTTTTCTTAGATAATAAGGAACGAAAACATACGTTCAGCTTGCGCAAAAAGTCGCAGCAATTAATGCCATCGAATGACGACAAGTACTCAAGGCAATCACGACAAAAAACAAAGCATTAATGAGTTAGCATTATGCTCGTTTATGTTTAATTGGCGTGGATATGCATTATCGTAGTCGGTATAATTCTAGAACGCACAATTTTTTTGACCAAAAAATAGCGTTAGTAGTAGCATTATTTAAGTATATTTTTGAAACTAAAATGCATTTTATCCTAAGATTGTATCACAAAATATTCATCACCATTTAAATATATACGATTTAGACATCAAGAAATAAATTTAAAATTGCAAAAATTATACTAAAACAGCCTTAAATGTGTCTTGTATGTACGTGCTTATCAGTATGTATTGTAGGCATTTTAACGCACAGCAATAATCGTTCTTGATGAGTAAGACTGATGACTACTGTAACACAGTAAATCCTCGAAATCGAAAATTTAAAACACTGAAAACTTCAAATATGGGAAAATTGTAAAATCTAGAAATCGAAACATAAAAGAATCAAAAAAATTAAAATTGGAAAATCTAAAATTTAAAAATCGAGAAATCGAACAATCGGTTAATTCAAAAATCGAAACATCGAAAAATTGGAAAATCGAAAAATAAAAAAAATTGGACAATCGAAAATTTAAAAATTCCGAAAATTGAAAAATTGAAATATAGAAGAACTGAAAAGTAAAAAAATCGAAAAAAATTAATAATTTAAAAATTGAAAAGTTAAAATTGAGAAATCGAAAAACTAAAAAAATCACAAAATTGAACGAAATATCAAAAAATTAGGAAATTAAAAAATTGAGAAACAGAAAAGTCAAAAACGCAGAGTCTAAAAATCGCAAACTTAAAAAATCGAAAAATTGAAAAATCAAAACCCTGAATAATCGAAAGATTGAAAAAGTGAAGAACTGAAAAATCGAAACTTTAGGAAGTGGAGAAATGGGAATATAAAAAAATAGATTAATTGAGAAATCCGAAAACTAAAAATTCAGAAACGTCAAAATTTGAAAAATAAAAAAATATTGAAGAACTAAAAAATCGAAAAATCTAAAATTTAAAACATTGAAAAGTTAAAATATCCTAAAATTGAAAAATGGGGAAATCCAAACATCAAAAAATCAAAAAAAAAAAAAAATAAATAAAAATCTAAAATTTAATAATCGAAAAACTGAAAAATCAACGAATCGAGAAGTCGAGAATTTAAAAAATTGGACAATTGAAAAATCGGATAAATCAAAAATCGAAACATCGAAAAATCGAAAAACCGAAAAGCAAAAAATCGAAAAACCAACAAATCGAAAAATCGAAACATTGTAAAATTCAAAAATTGAGACATCGAGGAGTCGAAAAATCGAGAAGTCAAAAAATCAAACAATTGAGAAACCGAAGTAGGCCAAAATCGAAAAATCGAAAACTTAAATATAGACAAATTGATAAAGCGAGAGATTGAATAATCAAAACATCGAAACATCCGAATCTCAATGAATTGAGATCTCAAAAAATTTAAACATTCGTAAATTTAAATAAAAAATTAAAATATAGAACTGGAAACTCGAGAAACTGAAAAATCTAGAAATTTAAAAATTAAAATATGAAAAAGTTGAAAAATTGAGAAATTGAAATAAAAAACAAAAAACTGAAAATCCAAAAATAAAAAATAGAAAAATCTAGAAGTCGAAAAATGAAAGAATCGAAGTATTGAAAAATATCAAAACTGAAAGAAATATCCAAAAATTGAGAAATCGGCAAACCAATAAAGCGAAGTCGAAAAATCGAAGAATTGAAGAACTGAAAAATCGAAACTTTGAGCAGTGGGAAAATCAAAAATAGATTAATTGAGAAATCAGAAAACTGAAAATTTAACGCAAAAATTTGAAAAATTCAAAAATTTAAATACTGAAGAACTGAAAAGTCAAAAAATCGAGAAATCGAAAAAACTAAAATTTAAAACAATGAATAATTAAAATATCGCAAAATTGAAGAATCGAGGGATCCAATTCAATTTGAAAAATTGAAAAATCGGGGCATTGAAAAATTGGAAAATCCAGAAATTGAAAAGCTCAAAAGAAAAAAATCGAAAAACCGAGAAATCCAAAAATCGAAACATCGAAAAATTCAAAAACCGAGACTTCGAGAAATCGAAAAATCGGGGGATGGAGAAATTGAGGAGTCGGAAGCCGAAAAGGAAAGTTAAAAATTGAAAAATTGAGAAATTGAACAATCAGAACAACGAAACATCTGAATTCGATAAATTGAGAAATTAAAAAATTGAATAATCGAATAATTTTAAAAAGAAAAACTGGAAAATCGAAAATTAAAATTAAAAAAATCGAAAAATTGAAAAATTGAAATATAGAAGAACTGAAAACTCGAGATATCGAAAAACCTAGAATTTTAAAAAATGAAATATTAAAACATCGAAAAGTTTAAAAATTGAGAAATCGAAGCATTAAACAGTCCCAGAATTGAAAAATCTAAAGTTTACAATAAATTGAAAATCCAAAAAGGAAAAAAGCGAGAAATCAAAAAAATCCATCAATTCAAAAATCGAAAAGTCGAAAAATTGAAATATTGAAAAATCTCATAACTGAAAGAAATATTTGAGAAATTAAAAAATTGGAAAATTGAGAAATCGAAAATCTAAAAAAGCAAAATTGAAAAATCGTAATCTTAAAAAATCGAAAAATTGAGGAATTGAAGATGTGAAAAATCGAAACTTTAGGAAATCCAGAAATGGACAAATAAAAAAAATACTTTAGAAATTGGCAAACTGAAAATTTAGAAACGTGAAAATTTGAAAAATTGAAAAATCGAAATATTTAAAAACCGTAAAATTGAAAAGGACAAAAATTGAGAAATCGTATCATTGAAACATCGTAAGATTGAGAAATCGAAAAATAAAAAAATCGAGAAACCGAGAAATCCAAAAATCGAAACATCGAAAAATTCAAAAACTGAGACTTCGAGAAATCGAAAGATCGGAGGATCGAGAAATTGAGGAGTCGGAAGCCGAAAAGGAAAGTTAAAAATTGAAAAATTGAGAAATTGAACAATCAAAACAACGAAACATCCGAATTCGATAAATTGAGACATTAAAAAATGGAATAATCGAAAAATTTTAAAAAAGAAAAACTGGAAAATCGAAAAATTGAAAAATTGAAATATAGAAGAACTGAAAACTCGAGATATTGAAAAACCTAGAATTTTAAAAAATGAAATATTAAAACATCGAAAAGTTTAAAAATTGAGAAATCGAAGCATTAAACAATCCCAGAGTTGAAAAATCTAAAGTTTACAATAAATTGAAAATCCAAAAAGGAAAAAGCGAGAAATAAAAAAAAATCCATCAATTCAAAAATCGAAAAGTCGAAAAATTGAAATATTGAAAAATCTCATAACTGAAAGAAATATTTGAGAAATTAAAAAATTGGAAAATTGAGAAATCGAAAATCTAAAAAAGCAAAATTGAAAAATCGTAATCTTAAAAAATCGAAAAAGTGAGGAATTGAAGATGTGAAAAATCGAAACTTTAGGAAATCCAGAAATGGACAAATAAAAAAAATACTTTAGAAATTGGCAAACTGAAAATTTAGAAACGTGAAAATTTGAAAAATTGAAAAATCGAAATATTTAAAAACCGTAAAATTGAAGAGGACAAAAATTGAGAAATCGTATCATTGAAACATCGTAAGATTGAGAAATCGAAAAATAAAAAAATCGAGAAACCGAGAAATCCAAAAATCGAAACATCGAAAAATTCAAAAACTGAGACTTCGAGAAATCGAAAGATCGG